CCCGCCCCCCAAAAGAAAATCAAAACACATGTGATATTACAACCAGCTGCACCCATCAGGGTGGAGCCAAACACTTGCGCACAGCAGGCACTCAGTCAGCTTTGTCCTCTGCACAGCTCTGAGGGGTCATTTGTCATTTAGCCAGTGAGCCCAGGATTATTGTTCACTGATGAAAGACCCCCTGCTTAAGGCTGAGATGTAACACTTTACATTGACAGAGACTAGTCCACCCCCTATGATTGACACATAGTAACCCTATTCTGCAGCCTCATCCTTTTTTTTTTTTTTTTTATGGGGGTGGGGTGTTTCTTATATTTTGGAAACAGAGACGTGGCCTCGGGACAGCATGTCGTTCTAGCCTGTTCAGCCCTGAAGAAAATGTACAGAGACATCTTGATACGAGGAAGAAGTGATGTGCCTTTGGAAGTTGATGAGTCAGCAAAGGAAAGGCTGGCCGGAGAGCAGCTCTTGGTGGTCTACCTCTGCGGGCCATTTGAGATCATTTCCAGACGCTTGTTGCAACGAAAAGGACATTTTATGCCGCCCGAGTTACTGCAGTCCCAGTTCAGTATTCTGGAGCCCCCATCAGGTCCTGAAAACTTCATCCAAGTCAGCGTGGACCAGAGTCCCTTGGAGATGGCTGATGCCATCATGGAAGCGTTGCACACAAAGTAGTCATTTTATGCCTGCAGTTTACAGACAACTCTGGTTCTAAGCTCCTCACCAGTGGCACAGTCTAAATTCCTAATTGGAAACAAACCACAGTGTGTGGAGATCCTTGTTTGACTGTGTTGGTAGGAGTTTGTGGTGCCATTGGCATCCTGCAGGTCTGACAGGAAAGGGGAGAAAGATGTTAAAAGTTAAACTGAAACTCAAGTTTAAATGTGTGTGTAAAGCAACCAGATTGTGGTGATTTGTTGATGCAATAACAAATAAAGCTTGCCTGAAGATCAGAGTGCAGAGCTAAGCCACTAGCTAGCCATAGGGGCCAGCAGTGGTAGACACATCTCTGTGAGTTCAAGGCCACCCTGGGCTACATGAGATTGAATCTGTGTAAAAGAGAAATAACTCATACAAAGGTGATCCCAGCACGGGGGGGTGGGGTGGGGGGCCGCGAGGTTGGGAGACAGGAGTGAAATGGCTGGGTGGATGGGTGGAGGGGTGGATGGGTGGAGAGGATATAAGGCAGGAGGAGACAGGAGTTGAGGGAATTGCAGTCTGAGGATTCATAGAGACAGAGTCAGTCTGAGGACAGGATCTGTGGTCTGAGCATTGCTAGAGGTGAGAGCTCTCTAGTGGCTGGCTGCTCTGCTTCTCTGATCCTTCAGCTTTCACACCGATAGTTGACTCCAAGTTTCTATTATTAAGACCAAAGAGAATCTGTGCTGCACCAGATGGTTAGTGGAGATTCTGTAATCAAAGCTAGAAATTACTCGTTTAAAAGAACAATGCACCAGGTGTTGGTGGCACATGCCTTTAATCCCAGCACTCGGAAGGCAGAGGCAGGAGGATCTCTGTGAGTTCGAGGCCAGCCTGGTCTCCAGAGCGAGTGCCAGGATAGGCTCCAAAGCTACACAGAGAAACCCTGTCCTGAAAAACCAAAAAATAAAAAAATAAAAGATTAAAAAAAATCAGGGTCTGTAGAGATGGTTCAGAGGTTAAGAGCACTGACTGTTCTTCCAGAGGTTCTGAGTTCAATTCCCAGCATCCACATGGTGGCTCACAACCACCTGTAATGAGATCTGTTACCAACTTCTGGCCTGCAGGCTGACATGCAGGCAGAACACTGTGTACATAATAAATAAATCTTTTTTCGAGACAGGGTTTCTCTGTGTAGCTTTGGAGCCTATCCTGGCACTCGCTCTGGAGACCAGGCTGGCCTCGAACTCACAGAGATCCACCTGCCTCTGCTTCCCTAGTGCTGGGACTAAAGGCATGTGCCACCAACGCCCGGCTATAAATAAATCTTTAAAAATAAATAAATAAAAGAACAACCCCTCGTGCCTGTGTTTGTACAAATGAATGAAACATGCTATCCTGGAAACAGGCTGGAAACTGGTCTCAGCAATAGAAACCACAACAAAACCCAGCCACCCACTGCAAGTCATTTCATACCATACTGCCTTTGGTTTTTCGAGATAGGGTTTCTCTGTGTGACAGCTCTGGCTGTCCTGTAACTCACTCTGTAGACTGTCTTCGAGCTTACAGAGATACACCTGCCTCTTCCTCCTGAGTGCCAGGATTAAAGGCTTGCACCACCACCATAGACACACCACATTTTCTTTAGCTGTCGGTGGACATCTCAGGCAGGCTCCATCCCCCGAGAAGGTTTACAAATGGCTGCCTTTGGTTGAGTAGGGTGTGGGTCATCTTGACTGGGAAAGACCTATGAGGGACTTTTGCTATGGAACAATCTTTTGGTACACTATGGATACATATCGCTCTCATTTACTAACAGGATTTGCCAGTTGCTGGGCAGGAAGAGATTGAGTGCAAGAACCAGAGTAGGAGAATTCTGGGAAAAGGAAGGGCAGAGTCAGAGTTACCAGCAAACACAGAGAAGCAAGATGAGAATGCAGTACCGAGAAAAGAGACCAAATCATGTAGCAGTGTATAGATAAAAACGTGGATTAATTTAAGTGTAAGAGCTAGGCAGTAACAAGCCTGAGCTATCTGCAGCATTTATAAGTAATATTCACCCTCTGAGTTGGTTATTTGGGACTGGGAAGTCAGGAGAGAAATGTTCAGTTACAGATTTTCTTCATTTTTTTATAAATGACATTTTTGTTTGTTTTTTGAGACAGTGACTCTCTATGTGGCCCTGGCTGTTGTGGAGCTCCCTACCTCCAGCAGGCATGTGTGTGCTGCCATACCCAGTGCGGGCCTTTTTTGGATGGTTCTGATGGATGTGGGAAGACCCACGCCAATGTGGGCAGCACTTATCCATGGACTTGGGTCCCACACTGAATAAAAAGGCTCCATTGCTCCTGGCCGTGCTGGACTGTATCCATGTGTGCCTACCCTGGCTTCTGCAGGCTGCTGCTTGCCGGGTGCTTGGTCACAGCAAGGAGAGGGACCACACAGCTGGCACTCCTGTGGACACATGAAGCCTTTTTGCTCTTCCTCTTTGCAGCATTACCTGGGACATGTCCTGCTGGCTTCAGACTTGACATGGTCCAGTGTTCATATTCCTGCCACATGAGGGTCCCCAGATGCATGGGCCAGGCATGGTGATGCTCACCTTTAATCCCAGCATCCTAGTTCTTGAGTTCAAGACCAGCCTGACCTACACACTGAATTCCACTGAGCTACGCACTGAGAACCTTGTCTCAAAATAAAACAAAGATAAATAAAAATAAGTAAGAGTTCCCCACGCTGCTAAGTAGAGGAGGGAACCATGAAGCAACTGTATTGGCAGAGCCACATCTACGGTGTGTCCTCTGGATGGTTGGAGGGTGATAAGACAAGTGTGGTTCTTAGATGGCTCCATTCAGAGGAAGAGGGGAAGACAGGACACCTTGTGTCCCCAGGCTGGAGTCCTCACAAGGAAGGAAGGACTCGGCAGGAACCTTGGGACTTGGTCTAGATCTGTTGCAAGATGCAATCCTTGGTGGACTGTTCCAGAGCCCAACTCCCTTCCCATGACTGAGTGAGAGCATATCCCACACAAGACTCGTATCACCACACATGTGCCACCGCTGGACCTCAGACCCTGTCATGTGACAAGAAAATGAAGAGAAAGGCATTGGGTTCCCAACCTGCAATGCCCCATAGCATTGATGCCTCAGGGCTGTGGACATAGCTCGGTGTAGAGCCTTGCTTGGCATGTGCAAGGCCCCAAGTCTGATCCCCAGCCCCGTACACTGCGACAGACACTTTCACACCAAGCATGCATCTCAACTAGGTCATTCAGTGGCTGAGCTGAGAGCCTTACAACTGTGAAGAGCAGCCTGGCCCAGAACCTGGGACTCGGGGCAAGGCCTGGCCAATCAGACCCCATTTGGATATGCGGGTTATGTAGCACACTACTTGGAAGGGAGCATCAGAGCCTTTTCCTTAGAGTGGAGTAAGGCCAGAGCTGGCAGGGTTCAGACCAAGCAAAAAACCCCACGGGACTGGTCACACAAAACTCCAAAACTCGGGGTGAGACACCACCTCTGCATGGTGCTTCTGGCTGATGATCAGGTGAAATCTGCAGAGTAACTGTAACAAGGTAGAACGGAGCACAGAAAGGGGGCGAGGTGAATTGGGCTTGGAACACGGGATAGATAGGCTGGGCTTGCTAAGACAGTCTTCCTACAAGAAAAGGACACTGTCTAATGCCATTTCAGGAGGCCTTGGGCCACTCTACTCTCAAGTGACCAAAAAGCAGAAACAGTGAGGCTCAGAGTCTGGTAACAAAGGGGAGATTGCATCTCAAGAGAGAGAGCCTTGACAACCAGGCAGAGGTGGTAGAACCTGAACTGTCCAGGCTGGAGGTTGTCCTAGTCAAAAAAGATCACACTTTTTTTTTCAAGGCAGAGGTCCCTCTGCCTCCCGAGTGCCAGAGTGCTGGGATTAAAGGCATGAGCCTTCACAGCCTGGCAAGACCACACTTCTGACAGGCCTTAAACCTCTGGCAGGCACTAGGCATTGGTGGTGCACAACTTTAGTCCCAGCACTCGGGAGGCAGAGGCAGGCAGAACTCTGTGAGTTTGAGACCAGCCTGGGCTACAAGAGCTAGTTCCAGGACAGCCTCCAAAGCCACAGAGAAACCCTGTCTCGAAAAACAAAACAAAAACCTCTGTCAGGCCAGCTGAGACTTAATGGTTTTTGTCACCTCCTATATCTCAGAGTGCAATACAGTCAGTCAGCTTACTCTTTGAGGCCCAGGCACTCTGGGGTGCAGAAAGCAAGCAGCAATCAATATCAGGGATCCTGGGGACTCGCTGGCTGCCATTGGGTTGCTATAGAGACAGTCACAAAGGCAGGAAAGGGGGAGGACCAGAAGTAGACACAGTGAGAGGCTGCAATGCACTGCAGAGAGGAGCTTGGACTATAGAATGCAGTGCTCGTCCACCTCCGGGGCAAGGGGCAAGCCTTAGGCTTGCACATTACCATGGAAACAGAAAGCTCTGAGCACAGGTCTAGGATTGCCCATCTCTCCAGCCTGCTCCCACCCTGAGGAGTCTTTTGCCGGGTGGGTCTGTAAGAGCAGAATGTAAAGTTCCCTCCTCTCTCTTCCTGCATGCAGAACTCAGTCAGTGTTCAGCTTGCTGACCCCAGTCTCTGACACACTTCCGCTGGGACATTTATGACCTCTGGGTGCAGAGGGTGGAGGGAGGGGGTGCTCTGGAGGGGAGTGGGAACCTGAACAGGGCACAGGCTACAAAGCCCACTGGAGCCAGCAGCAGCCTCTGATGCCCCGGACTGGAAAGTGATCAAATTCAATCAGCAGTGACGCTGGCGGCTTCACACTGACCAGCCCAGGCCTCAGCGCAGTGGGAGCCAAGAGGAACTGCAGTAAACTCCATCCACAGAGGGAGTAATAAATCTCACCCAGAGGGCTGGCAGACGCCTGTGAGAGGACCTGAAGAGAAGCTCCGCATCCAACTCTCTCTCACATTACTCAACATTTTACCTTTTTATTATATTTTGCTATTTTTTTTTTTTTTTTGGTTTTTTGAGACAGGGTTTCTCTGTGGCTTTGGAGGCTGTCCTGGAACTAGCTCTTGTAGACCAGGCTGGTCTCAAACTCACAGAGATCCGCCTGTCTCTGCCTCCTGAGTGCTGGGACTAAAGGCTTACTATTTTCTTTTTAATCATTTTTATTTTGTTTTGTTCTTAACACTCCAATAGATGAATTCAACGATATTAAAATGATTGAAATGCTACATAAAAAAAATGGAGCCAGGCGTTGGTGGTGCACGCTTTTAATCCCAGCACTCGGGAGGCAGAGGCAGGCGGATCTCTCTGAGTTC